CACAAACTGAGAAAAGGGATCATGTCTTCGAGTGCCTTCTATACAACAGGATGTCATGAATTTGACTTAAACTTAATTTTGGAATGGCTAAGCACTCTATAGGATAAACACTGGACTGTGAACCACAAGGGCAGTAGTGTGAGCCTGCCAGCTGCTCCACAGGAGAAAGATGAGGCTTTCTGCCTCCTGAAAGATTTACTGCCTCACAAATCCTATACAGGGTTGCTATGAATCAAAACCGACTTGACGGCACTTGACAACAAAAAATGATATATTATTTTAGCTTGCCTATGTAGCATGTTGTTAAGTGCCATCAAATCAGTTCCGATCCATAGTGACCCTATCTAGGGTGTCCAAAGAGCAACTGGTGGGTTTGAACCACCCACTTTGCAGTCCACCACCAGGTGTGGCACTGCAAGATAATGCTCTGGACTTAAATGTCAGTTTGAACCACATGGTCAGTGGTTCAAACCCACCAGCTACTCCTCGGAAACTCTAGACAGGATCAGTATGGGTCAATATTGACTCATCGGCATTTAACAGCAACAACATAACATTTTTAAAAACAAAACAACAACAAAAAAACCCCACTGCCACTTAAGTTATACCGACTAATAGCAGCCTGTGGGACAGAGTAGAACTGCTCCATGGCACTATTTTACTCTCCCTGGCCCTTAGTAATAATTTAAGCACCAACATGCTCTGCCCTTTGCCACAGTGATGGTTCTTGTGGGAGCCCTCAGGTCTTAGGTTTCTTTAAGCGCCTTCTTAAAAAGCTAGTTCTTTACTTTACAATGCTTTCCCTTTGTTGTTGTTGTTAGGTGCCATTGAGTCGGTTCCGACTTACAGAGACCTTATGCACAACAGAACAGAACACTTGCCCGGTCCTGCGCCATCCTCACAGTCGTTATTAAGCTTGAGCCCATTGCTGCTGTCACTGTGCCAGTCCATCTCTGTGGAGGTCGTCTTCTTTCTTGCTTACCCTCCGCTTTACACCTAGCATGTTGTCCTTCTCCAGGGACTGATCCCTCCTTATAATATGTCCAAAGTATGATGAAGTCTTGCCAGCTTGGCTTCTAAGAAGAATTGTGGTTGTACTTCTTCCAACACAAATTTGTTTGTTGTCCTAGCAGTTCATGGTACTTTTACTATTCTTTTCCTACACCATAACTCAAATACATCAGTTTTTCAATGGTCTTCTTTATTCATTGTCCAATACTCATACATATAAAATTTTTGAACATATCGTGGCTTGGGTCATGTGCATCTTACTTCTCAAACTGGCTTCTTTGCTCTTGAACACTTTAAAGAGGTCTTGCTTAATTAGCAGGTTTGTCTAATGCAATATGTTGTTTAATTTCTTGACTGCTGCTTGCATAAGTGTTAATAGTAGATCCAAGCAAAATGAAGTCATTAACAACTTCAGTCTTTTCTCCATTTATCATGATGTTATTTACTGAGGACTTTTATTTTCTTTGTGTTGAGGTGCATCCATCCTGAAGGCTGTAGTCTTTGGTCTTCATTTTTTGTTGTTGTTGTTAAGTGCTATCAAGGTGGTTCTTACCCGTAGTGACTCTGTATAGGGATTCTAAGGAGTGGCTGGTGAGTTTGAACCACTGACCTTGCAGTTCAAACCGACCTTGTGGTCGAGTGCTTACCCTATCGCACCACACCAGAACTCCGCTTTCAGCAAGCAAGGCTGTATTATCTGCATATTGCAGGTTGTTAATGACTCTTCCTCCAATCTTGATGCCATGTTCTTCATATAATACAGTTTCTCGGATTATTTGCTCAGCATATAGATTGAATAAGTATGGTGAAAGAGTACAACCCTTGCTCACACCTTTCCTAATTTTAACCCATTAAGTGTCTTTTTATTCTGTTTGAATGACTGCCTTTTCATCTATGTACAGGTTCCTCAGGAGTACAATTAAGTATTCTGGAATACTCATTCTCTCATAGCTTGCCATGCTCTACACAGTTGAAAGCCTTTGCATATCAATAAAGCACAGGTAAACATCTTTCTGGTGTTCTCTGCTTTCTTTTAAGATCCATTTGATGTCAGCAATGATATCCCTCTTTCCACATCCTGCTTGAACCTCTGGCACTTCCTTGTCAATGTACTGTAGCAGCTGTTTTTGAATGATCTTTTAGTGAAATTTTGCTTGCATGTGATATTAATGATACTGTACTATGATTTCTGCATTCTACTAGGTCACTCCCTTTGGAATGGGCACAAATATGTGTCTCTTCTGATCAATTGTCCAGGTATTTGTACTCCAAATATCTTGGCATAGATGAATGAGTGCTTCCAGTGTAGCATCAGTTTGTTGAAAGATTTCAATTTGTATTCCCAGAGCCTTGATCTTTGCCAGTTCCTTCAGTGTACCTTGGACTTTTTCCTTCAGTACCATTGGCACTTGATCTCTTGAAATGATTGAACATTGTCCAGTAACTCTGTATTCCTTCTATCTTCGTTTGATGCTTTCTACATCATCGATATTTTGCGTACGTTGTTATTAAGTGCTGTTGAGTCTATTCCAATCTGTATAGGGTTTCTGAGGAGCAGCTGGTGGGTTTGAACCTCCGATATTGTGGTTTAAAATGACCTTGCAGTGTTGGGCTTATCTTACAGCTCTACACCAGGACTCTAATTTGCCCATTGTTGTTGTTGTTAAGTGCCGTTGAGTCAGATCCGACCCATAGCGACCCTATACAGGGTTTTCGAGGAGCAACTGGTGAGCTTCAATTGCTGACCTTGCAGTTCAAACGGCTTCGCAGTCTGGCGCATTAACCCACAGCACCACCCCAGGACTCCCATAGGATTCTTTAATTCTTTAAGTCAAGGCTTGCATTTTCCCTTATTCTGACGTTTATAACACCTCAGGTGTTGCTTTCTTTATGTCAGGAGAAACTATATTCCTGGAGCATCTCTTTACTTTATCACATTTGTTTCCTTTTCATGGTCAGATTTCAAAAAATCATTTCTAACTTGCTTGAATTTCTTTACATTCATTCCTCAATGAATGTGATTACGCTCACACTGCTGTACAAAAGCCATATTCCCAAGGCTATATCAGCTTCTTCTAATACCTCAAATCTGTTTTTTTGAAATTTAAGGAGCCTTGGTGGCATAGTTGGTTACGAGCTAGGCTGCTAACTGCAAGTTCAGCAGTTTGAGTCCACCAGCTGCTGCAGGATAAAAGTATGGCTTTCTGCTCCCATAAAGATTTATAGCCTTGAAATCCTTATACGGGGTCACTATGAGTTGGAACTGACTTGATGGCACACAGCCACCACCAATTTAAAGTGTGATTGGAATCAAAGCATTTTGGAGCTTCACATAGGTGATTGTTGTTGTTGTTGTTGTTAAATGCCATCGAGTCGGTTCTGACCCATAGCGACCCATAGGGTTTCCAAGGAGCTTGAACGGCATAGGTGATTAGAGGCCTTTTTCAATTTCCCCTAACATTCATTATGAGTTGGAACCGACTCAATAGCACTTAATAACAACAATGTTGCCCTTACTTAGCATTGTTGTCAGGTGCTGTTGAGTCTATTCTGACTCAAAGGGTTTCTGAGGCTGAAAATCTTTATTGGAGCAGAAAGATTTACCAATCTGTCACTCCTTAGGATTTTTGTTGTTGAGTTGGTTCTGACTCATAGCGACCCTGTACAGGGTTTAGAGGCTGTAAATCTTTACAGAAAGCCTCATCTTTCTCCCGCAGAACAGCTGGAAGTTTCGAACTGCTATCCCTGAGGTTAGCAGCCCGATTTGTAACCACTACGCTACCAGAGCTCCTTGTACTTAGACTATAGTATAAATAATAATTCATAAGTTAATGAAATTTGGGAGAAAATTAAACTATTCATTGATGTACTGTATAATCTTAGAGTCCAGGTGTGGCACTGTAGTGTAAGCACTGGACTGTTAACTTCAGGTCAGTAGTTCAAACCCACAAGGTGCTCCTCAGAAACTCTATACAAGGTCAGTGTGAGTCAGAACTGACTCAGCAGCACCAAACAACAACAAAACCATTTATCTTAAATCCCCAAAATAGACATTTAAGATGTTGTTGTTGTTGTTATGTGCCGTGGAGTCGGTTCTGACTCATAGCGACCCTGTACAGGATTTCCGAGGCTGGAAATCTTTATGGGAGCAGAACGCCTCATCTTTATCCCGTGGAACAGCTGGTAGTTTCGAACTGCTGACCTTTGCAGCTCACAGCCCAATTCGTAACCACTACGCTACCAAAGTTCTTTAGAAAATTTAAAATTAATCCTGATAGAAAAGGATGTAATTTAAGATTTTATTTTTTTTCATTGCTTACTTGTCTTATGCTTTTGGGGGGACAGGATGGAAAGTTAGGCATTTTGTTAGTTAAATGTATGAAGAATGGGAGTGTAGAGACTGAGGTGGGACAGGAAGTTGACATGGGCTCAGTCAGTGATGATGAGTTTAGCCACACCCCAGTCCTCATTGCTCCTGTGTGATAGGTAGTGGTGAATGATGATGGGGATGTTTTGGGCCTTGAGCTTCTTCATGGCGATGAGCAAGGGGTCTGTCTCCCTCTCCAGCTCCACTGTCACAGGGGTACTCGTCACATTCTGTGGGGCTCGGGGGTCTAGCACACTGGCTTTCTAGTACTTGGTCACGTGTGGTGTGATGATCCTCTTCTGTTTAGCTTGTGGTCGCTCTTCAGAGGGGAGTATCTCAATGTTCTTCTGGCCTTCCTCAATTGTCCAAGTCATCTAACCCTTCATCTTCCTCCATATCATCAGAATTCTCACCATCAAAGTAGTCCTCTTCTGACAGTGAGACCCAGCTCTGCTCCCCACAGCCGCGTAGAGTGCACCTGTGCTGTATATTTGTTTTATTTTAATGCTGAAAATTATAAACTAATTGTAGACTTACATGTATATATTTTGTTTCAGGACAAAACAACTTTTAATGAAATACACCATTCATTGTGAAAGTGGAACAATAAAGATTATTCGTCATGCCTGCTGTGGCTTCAGTTCCTAAAGAACTCTACCTCAGTTCTTCACTAAAAGACCTCAATAAGAAGACAGAAATTAAACCTGATAAAACCAGCACAAATAAGTATGTGTTCTTTCCTATTTTCTTTTCTGTTTTAGAGTTTATTTGAAACGAGTCATATAAATAAAGTAAGAGCTTCTTATAGAAGTTTGTAACTAGTCTGTACAGAATTTTTATCTTTTGCTAATGCACATGTTTTTCTCTCTGGACAGTGTACCATATCATAGACTTAAGAGGTAGAGACTACAAAGGGTCTTTAAAAATTATTCATCCTAAAACTGTGTTTTTAAACTGTCTTTAATAAAACAGTTAAAATGCTAATTAAGCAGCATTTTTATTCTTTATGAGAGATGAGATATGTACTTTTTTGTCCAACATTATGCAAAGTATTAATGTGCTATTTTGACATGAATTTTAAACTGATTCATTTTTTCCCTTTTTATTTTCAGAGTGTAGACTGAGACAAAGGTTAGAGATGATGCATTCCTGGTAGAGGTTACAAAATTCTTCCTGAGACAAAATATAATATGATAGAGGTCCAGCTATTTTGATATGTACTAGAAGCCTACTTTAGCTAAAAATAGGATATCATTAAGATTTTTAAGTTGTTGACAGTTTTATATCTGAAGGGACAGGATACAGTAAAGAAACTTTTTCTCTGAATTTTTTTTGACCAACAAAGTAGAAAGTGTAGAAATTAAAAAAGCAACTATATTATTATGTTGATTTCTGCCTTCAAGTCCATTCTGACTCTTAGCAACTCAGTAGAGCCGAGTAGAACTGCCGCGTAGAGTTCCCTAGGCTGGAATCCTTACAGAATCCTTACAGAGTGCCACCTCTTTGTCACATGGAGCTGCTGCTGTTTGTTGTTAGGGGCCATTGGGTCGGTTCCAACTCATAGTGACCTTATGCACAACAGAACGAACCACTACCAGGTCCTGCGCCCTAGGGTTAGCAGCTGAATGTTTCACCAGTGGGCATCAGGCCTCCTTCTGCATCACTGTAGACCTGGGAGTAACAGTTTCAGAAAGAAAAGAAGGGTTTGTCAACCATGTACTCCAGACTTTGGTGAAAATAGGTGCTTTTTGGCCAGAGAGAAATGAGAGGCTCTTAAAAAAATGCTATGTACAATCCCAAATGAATCTATGAAGAAACACCTGAATAAAACCTGTGATTGCACAAAGACATTTTTATGAGTCAAATCCTAAAGGAAATACATGAAAGTTAGGTAGATCATAATTCATCAAGGGGTAGTAGGAACTCTAAAGAAGGTTTGGGAGGCAAAAAATCCAGAATCAGCTGATATTTCTAAACATTACTAAGGACAAAATGGACTTCTTAAGGAGAAACCTTATAGGCGTAAAAAAGAGTAAAAGAGGGATTGGCTTCTTGCAGTAAGTTAATAATGTTGATGGGTGACAGAGAAAGCAGATTGATTTCACTCCTTTTGAATGATTTTCAGTTTGGAAGTTTCAGATTGGGAAAGATAAAAGGATCTTAAAATCTTTCTTAGAGAGCATCATCTATTCCTAAAATGGGTCCATCCTTTCTAGCAGTGTCTGCTTTAGCGCTGTGCCTAGATTCCAAAGGAAGTAGTATGCAGGAAGGACCTCCTAGAAATCTTAAACTCCTATTCTTGCTCTATTACAGTACTGATCCACAGAATGCTAGAATCCTTTTAGAATGCTTGCCTGCTTCCCTGGACTCACAGTAGATTGTCGTCAGCTAGATCTGTCACACAGAGGCCCTTGTAATATGCTGGCATCAGGATATTAAACTGCTATTTGTGTTTGATTTACCACTGTCCCAGGACTGTGATACCATCCTTGGCAGGGCATCTACAGTGGCTGAAATGGTCTCCGTGTAGGACCATCTTTAGCTTATTCCTTGTAACAAGTTCTAGTTTCTTGACCTGACTAATGTCATAACTAATTCATGTCCTAGTGTGAAAACCATAGAAAACCAGGTCGCTGTTCTTTATAAGTTACTGATAAAGCATATTGTAATATAAGTATTTAGGAGCCCTAGTTGTGTAGTGGTTACAAATTGGGCTGCTAAACTTAAGGTCAGCAGTTGGAAACTACCAGCAGTTCCATAGAAGAAAGATGAGGCTTTCTGCTCCTGTAAAGATTTATAGCGTCAGAAACCCTATACACAGGGTCTTTCTGATTCGGAACCAACTCCACAGCACATAACCACCACCTCCACCATGTATGCATTTGCCTCTATAACTTGGTTGTCAAAATTTGAATTCCTCTTGTAGAAATTCCTCTCTTATTACTCTTCTTTCTAAACACTTGGTTAAAATAATAAACTCGAGAAAATATTCATATTATGAGCATCAAAGGATCATCAAAATATTTTATTGAAGTATAATTTTAAGTTTTATACCTGAACTCTCCTTTCCCTCCAGGGCAGTCAGGCATTTTGTACAGAACTGTAATCAAGAAGGAAGATTGCAGTCATGGCCTCTTTCTTGGACCTAGTTTCTTAGATTTTTAGGTGGGGGCAATTTTGCTTTATGGCTAGAAAAGAATAAGGTATTTGTTTTAACAATAAAATAAGTAAAGGATAATAAATCAGTACAAATAGTACGCAGTTATATTCTTACATTATAGACTATAATTATGTTGACGGCCTAGGACCACTTGTTAGCAATTATCTATTATACCAAAGTTCTGTAAAACAGGACTAGAAATGCATTTTTCACAATGTGACTAGTATGGTGTGGTGCTGTAGGATGAGCACTAGACTTCTAACCACAGGGTCAGCAGTTGAAACCCACCAGCTGCTCCTTGAAAACCCTCTACAGGGTTGCTATGAGTCAAAACTGACTCGATGGCACTTAACAACAACAACATAAATATGAAACAGAAGTATTTAAAGAAATTTTCAGGTCATATTTAAACATATCCAACTTTTTATCAATTCTGAAATGTTGTTATTGTGTGCTGTCAAGTCAGTTATGACTCAGAGAGGGACCCTGCATAGGGTTTCCTTGGAGTTGAGTTTGAACCACCAACCTTATGGTTAGCAGTCTAATGTGTAACGTACACTAAATGATTGCGTTTGCTATATAAAGATTCTCTATGGATTTTACACATAACCTGGTTTTTCCCCCCAGATGTCAAGCATTTTAATTCTGTTTTTTCTCATTTTAAGGTATGTACAGAGTGCCGTGAAAATCTTCAAGGCAGCAGAAGAAAGCAGGTTAGATCGTGATGAGGAAAAGGCCTATGTGCTATATATGAAATATGTGACTGTTTATGATCTTATCAGACAAAGACCTGATTTCAAGCAACAGCAGGTACTTTTTACTTTTGTGTGCTGGAGCTATTGATTTTCTCTAAAAGTTTTAACTGTCCATGAAATTTAGATCACATTATGCAACAGCAAGTTCAAGCTCTTAAGCAGATAGAAAAAAGACTGTACATTTTGTTTCATTATTTACAAACATACATTGTCTTGTGTTTGTTAAGATTAGAGCATTATGCTGTTGAATTGGTTCCAACTCATGCGATTCTGCATAGGGTTTTTGAGGAGTGGCTGGTGGATCTGAACCACTAGTCTTGCGGTTGAAACCAACATTGCATTTGAGTGCTTATCCTACAGTTCCATATCAGGACTCCTTAGAGCAACATACAGATTCACGATCTATTTCCTTTTGTAACAAATGTTTTTAGGTCAAGTGAAATGATTCCATTTTCTCATACATTAAATGAGAAAAGGAGTCCTGGTGTGGCACTATAGGATAAGCACTGGATTACAAGGTCAGTTTGAACCACAAGGTTGGCAATTCAAACCCACTAATCACTCCTTGGAAACCTATTACAAGGTCTCTATGAGTCAGATCCGACTAGACTGCACTTTACAACAACAAATAAGAAAAAGTGCAACTGTTACAATACTGTCCTCTCAAGGTTCAAGATTTAGTCACTTAAGTTTTTATGTAACAGCTTTTTATATTTAACTGACATTGTTGGTTGGTTGGTTATGTGCCGTGGAGTCAGTTCCGACTCATAGTGACCCTGTACAGGGTTTCTGATACTGTAAATCTTTACGGGAGCAGAAAGCCTCATCTTTCTCCCACACAACAGCTGGTAGGTTCGAACTGCTGACTTTGCAGTTCACAGCCCGATTCGTAATCACTATGCTACCAGAGCTCCTAAACTGACGTTGTAGCCACACTTAAATAGATCTCAGTTTGCAAAATGAGTACTGATCACTTCCAGAATAACTTATTTTGCTTTTAATCCTTTGAGTAGGTGCCAGTCTTTGACTTTACTGAGGCCATGGATGGATGAAGGAGGTGTAAATGATAAAGAGAACCAGTGACTGGAATAAGTGTTATTAGAGAAAATGGTTGCATTTTGATTGCTCAGAAACATGCAAAAAACCCCACAGAGTCTAGGTCAAAGAAATGGAAAGAATGTTGTATGGGTGGTTCTACCACTTTTTTTTTTTTTTTTTTGCATTGTTAGTTTAGGGATAACTTTAATGAGTTTCACTTAATGGTGGTAAATCACTGCTGGTGTTTGTTCTCACCAGCTATGTTATGCCAATAACTGTTGCTGGATTTTAGATCAGCTTTGGTGAGGAGGCTCCTTGAATTTAGCTGCTCATTCATCACTTCACACATGGTTGTAGTGGCCCTGGGAGATTCCTTGTAGCATTTTTAGGCATACTTATTTATAACAAGAGACAGACTAGCATAAATTCAAAGAAGGTTTTACATATTCTTTGGTGGTTTTTACAGTATTTTTAAAGAATTGGTTAAATAGAAATGTGAAGATCCTTAAGTAAATTAAATACTGAAAGATTTGTAAATATGGATAACTTTGGCAGTTTTGGTATTTGCTGTTATAACAGGGCTACTTTTATGTACTTGTTTTTTATTTTTTGCTTACTTTTTTATGAACTAGTAGTTAAGTTTTCCTTTGACAAGATTGGGAATGTTTTTGTAGCTCCCAGTATTTTTAACTTGAAAAGACTGGAAGTAAATGTTAATCAGTAAGCGATTTTTCCATTTCCACTGAGTATCCATTGCATTTCCAAAGGGATTAACTAGTTAAAAGCTGCAGGAAAAGCTCAGGTTCAGAAGCTCCCTACAAAGGCTCAAGTGACCCAGACCATTGTCTCTAATGCTGCAGTTGTTCAGTTCATGGTTTTCAGTAGCAGATATTTCATCTACTTCTATTTTTGAATAGCTTTTGTTTTATTTAATCTGACTTCAACCTCTCTAATATACTTCAGATGCTTGAGAGGTTAAATTTAATAGCTAGATATCACCAGTCTTTTATAGAAATATGTATATTTTACTCATATTTTATGCTAGAAAATATTTAAGATACAGATAAAATTGACTATTAAGCTTTCCAACTAGCAAGACATTACTTCTACTGATTACTGATTGGAAAAATCAGTTTATGAACAGTGCATTCAGGACTGTCTAAAAAAGTGTTATTGTTGTTAAAGTGAGTGGGGAATATATTGAAAATATTAGTATAGCAAAGTCTAGGTAAAATTAGGATTCTATTTTGAAATCTCCATAATATTCTGGATGATGGTGGTGGTAGTTGTATGTTACCAAGTTGGTTCTGACACATAGCAACCCTGAATAGGGCCTTCCATAAGCACCCTGACTATAATGTTTTTAGCATTATTGCTGTCACATTGGCCAGTACTAACAGTATGGGATGGTTTTCCTATAATTTTAGGACCACTTTCATTCAATTCTTGGGACTTCAACCATCAAAAAAGCTATTGAAGAAGCTGAAAGACTCTCAGACAGCCTTAAACTCAGGTACAGCTTTTATTCTAAAACATTTAAAAGAATATAAATTTAGAAGATGAACATAATTTTTAGCATTTGTTCATTTATACCTGACCATACATATAATATCGCAGTTCCTAGAAAAAAAAAGTCTTTTTTTAAACTCAGACACGAAAATTAGAATCTTTTTTGCTTTCTCACCTTTATTTCATTTATGCTTTACCATTAATATTCTTTATTGAAATTTTGAAAGTATTTAGAACGATGAATTGTTAAGGTAAGCACTGGTGTGTTAAATTATAACTCTAGTCCAATGTTCTGTTTGTAAGTTTCTGGTAGGATTCTTCAGAAAAAAGGTAATGTTTCATATGCCTCATGTGCTATGCCACTGAACGCTAATCTTAGTAGAATGAAGTCATTTTAGTTTTGCAGAACTTAGTTTTGCTCTGCCTAGCTAGAGAAGCTATATTCTAATTATGATATTTGCCATGACTGGCTTGCTAGGCTTATAAAATGATGACAAACTTGTGAATAGTACGTTTTGGTTTTGGTTTTCAGTCTGCAAATAATTAAATTTAAAAGAAACTGTTTTTCATTTGGTATTTTTTCTTCATGATTTTTCATTCATTTATCAATGAACTATTGCAATTAAATGAATTGCTTCTACTTAGAAATGATCTTTTTTAAGTAATACGTTCCCTGTCCTATTCAGAAACTACTAATCTTTGGACTGTTGTATGTTAAGGGCCGAAACCCACTACCATTGAGTTGATTCAGACTCTTAGAAAGCCTACAGGACAGCATAGAACTGCCCCATAGGGTCTCTAAGACTGTAAATCTTTCTGGAAGCAGACTGCCACATCTTTCCTACCACGGAGCAGCTGGTGGGTTTGAACCACTTTCATTTAGTGCTTTAACCACTGTGTCACTAGCACTCCTGTTAAGGGGCTAGATATGGATGCTGTAATTTAGGATCCCCATTTTCTTCTACATTTAGCCAGTTAATCAACTCAGTAGGCTAGAATTTCTCCTAATCTTTTGTTGTTGTTGTTGTTGTTGTTGCTAAGTGCTGTCGAGTCAGTTCTGACCCATAGCGACCCTGTATAGCGTTTCCGAGGACTAGCTGGTGAGTTTGAACTGTGGACTTTTGTTTACCCAATAATAATGTTTTTCTCTTAAATTTGCCTAGTTTCACCGTAATCGTACTACTCCTGATATGCCCTTTATTCTTTTAAATGATCTTTTAGGCCTTAGTAGCTTATGCTTGTACTTTTTTTATATTATGAACCAGTTTGTAAGTTAATGAGGTCTTATAATTGTTGGCTAAAAAATAATTATTGAGATATAATTCATATACCATACATTTCACTCATTTAAATTATATTTGTTGCTGTTAAGTGCCTTCAAGTTGGTTCTGATTCGTAGCGATTCCGAGGAACGACTGGTGTATGTCAGTGTTTTCTCAAAGGTATGTCAGGTATACTCAAAGTTGTGCAACTATCACCACAATCAATTTTAGAACATTTTTATTACCCCAAAAAGAAACCTGTGCACTTACACAGCCCCTCCTCCCCCTTTCTGACTCTACAACTTAAATCAAACTAGTTGCTGTAAAGTAGAGTCCGACTCACCCCACAGGAGTTCCAAGGCTATAATTTTCTCTGGTAGCGTAGTGGTTACGAATCGGGCTGCGAACCTTAAGGTCAGCGGTTCAAAACTACCAGCTGCTCCATGGGAGAAAGAGGAGGCGTTCTACTCTCATAAAGATTTACACCCTCGGAAACCCTGTACAGGGTCGCTATGGGTTGGAACCGACTCGACGGCACTTAACAACAACAACAATCTTTACAAAAGCACACTGGCAGCTGTTTCTTGTAGAGCATCTGATGGGTTCAAATCACTGATTTTTGGTCAGTAGCCAAGTGTTTAATCACTGCACCACCAAGGCTACTTTTTCTCCAATTCTAGGCAAAATAGTTTACTTCCTGTCTCTATTGGCTTCCCCAAATGGACATTATTTGGACATCTTATAAATGGACTCACATAGTATGTTACCTGTTGTGGCTAGCTTCTTTCACTTAGCGTACTGTTTCATTTCATCCATAGTGTGTCGTCTATCAGTACTTCATTCCTTTTTATTGCCAAATAATATTCTGTTGTATGGATATGTTGTTGTGTGCCATCAAGTTGGTTTCAACTTACTGAAACCCTGTATGTAGATGGTCTCTAAGAGTGACTGGCAGTTTTGAACTGCCAACCTTGCTGTTATCAGTTATGTGCTTATCCTGTAGTGCCAAACCCAGGTTCTAGTATGTATGTAGCTAATTATTTTTATAAAACTGAAATATGATTTAAAAAGTGTAAAACCTTATTAACGTTTAGATAAAGCGTCTGCTTGCCAAAATTCAAGTTATTATTTCTATATAAAAAGTTAAGATGTATTTTTGTTTCACAGAATGGGTTTGTAGTGCCATGAATTTGTTTTATATGATTTTTCTATCCAAGGTCTTCTCATACTCCCACCAAATGTTTGGGTGGGAGCATGCAAGTATATAGGATTCTTAATGTCAGGATTGGTTAGCTTAGAAAAACTTAAAAGGAGCCATCTCAAAAACAGGAATAGGGAATCCGAGCATCATCAAGAAAGAAGAGCCCTGAGCAGAATATGAGATCCATACCTGGAAAACTGGTGGCAGCATGGAGAGAGAGAGACAGCAGCTGTGGTCTTCCCAATGAATGGACTCAGTAAAACTGAGTGACTGCGGGCATGAGGCTGGCTTTTGCTGTTTGGGCATTTACAGACATGCTAAGAAGCTTTGTAACACTTGTCCCAACAGAGCAGAAGCTGAATGAGAGCCACATGGATGAGAGGCTGAAGAGAAAAGCAAGGCGTGCCTGCAGTTGGGCAGAGGAGAGGTGCTCCTGACTGCAGAACGGTTGCATACTGAGTTGTTTCTGATTGAACAGGATATAGGAATACTGAATGGTTTAAAATTAAGAAAAGTGTGCGACAAGGTGTTGTATTCTTTCACCAGACTTATTCAACCTGTATGCTGAGCAAATAATCTGAGAAGCTGGGTTATATGAAGAAAAACGTGGCATCAGGATTGGAGGAAGACTCATTAACAACAACCTGAAATATGCAGATGATACAACCTTGCTTGCAGAAAGTGAAGAGGATTTATAACACAGATGAAGATCAAAGAGCACAGCCTTCAATATGGATTACATCTCAATGTTAAGAAAACTAAAATCCTTACCAGTGGACCAATAAACAACATTTTTACCAACGGAGAAAAGATTGAACTTGTCAAGGACTTCATTCTTCTTGGATCAACTATCAACACTCACAGAAGCAGTAGTCAAAAGATCATACGACGTATTGCATTAGGCAAATCTTCTGCACAAGACATTTTTAAAGTGTTCAAGAGCCAAAGAAATCAGCTTGAGGACTAAGGTGCACCTGACCCAAGCCATGGTATTGTCAGTCACCTCATATGCACGCAAAAGCTGGACAGTGAATAAGAAAGATCGTTGAAGAATTGATGCTTTTGAGTTATGGTGTTGGAAGAGAATATTGAAAGTGCCATGTGCTGCCAAAAGAACCAGTAGATCTGTTTTGGAAGACGTGCAGCCAGAGTGTTCCTTGGAGGCCAAGATGACCAAACTTCGTCTTTCATACTTTAGACATAGTGTCAGGAGGGACCAGTCACTGGAGAAGGATATCATGTTTGTTAAGGTGGAGGGTCAGAGAAAAAGAGGAAGACCCCCAATGACATGGATTGGCCAGGTGGCAGCATCAATGGACTCAAACATGGCAACAATAGTAAGGTTGATCCAGGATTGGGAAATGTTTCATTCTGTTGTGCATAGGGTCGCTATGAGTCGGTACCAACTCGATGGCATCTAGCAACAACAAAGGAGATTTGGTAGCATAGTTGTTACGAATTGGGCTGTGAACCTCAAGGTCAGCAGTTCAAAACTACCAGCTGTTCCACAGGAGAAAGATGAGGCGTTCTGCTCCCGTAAAGATTTACAGCCTCAGAAACCCTGTATAGGGTCACTATGAGTCAAAATCGACTCCACGACACGTAACCACCACCACCAATGGCCAGTGATCATAAGCATTTCTTCATATGTTTGTTTGGCCACCTGAATGTCCTCTTTGGTGAATTGTGTCTGTTCATGTCCTCTGCCTATTTTTAATTTGGATTCTTTGGCTTGTTCATGCGGCATTGAAGTGTTCTGTAAATTTTGGAGAGTAATCCTTTGTCTGTTATGTTGCAAAACATCTTTTTCTAGTTTTTGAGTTCTCTTTTCATTCTTTTGGTGAAATCCTTTGATGCACATAAGTGTCTCATTTTTAGGAGGTCCCAGTCATCTATTTTGTCTTCTATATGTTTTCAGTTATATTTGATAGTGTATTTATGCACTGTATCAGAGTTCTTGTTCGTCCTCATTTTTTCATTGATGATTTTTATAGTTCTAGGCTTTATATTTAAGGAGCTCTGGTAGCGTAGTGGTTACGAATCGGGCTGTAAACCTTAAGGTCAGCGGTTCGAAACTACCAGCCTCTCCGCCGGAGAAAGATGAGGCTTTCTACTCCCGTAAGGATTTACACCCTCGGAAACTCTGTACAGGGTCGCTATGGGTCGGAACCGACTCGACGGCACTTAACAACAACAAGGCTTTATATTTAGGTTTTTACTCCATGTCGAATTAATTTGTATGTCGTGTCTCATTTTTGTGCAAGTGGATTTCTAATTTGGGTAGCACCATTTGTTGAGGAGACTCTTCACTATTTAATGCATTTTGGCCTTTTGTCGGAGATCAGCTGACCACAGATAAATGGATTTACTTCTGGGTTCGTAATTCTGTTCCATTGACCTATGTGTTTTTTCACTGTACCAGTACCAGGCTGTTTTGACCATTGGGATTGTGTAGTAGGTTTTGAGATTGGGAAGTGAGGCCTCCTACTTTGTTCCATTTTTTAAATAATGCTTTGTTTTTCCGGGGTCTCTTTCCTTTCC